ATTTAATTCAAGTAGTGGTTCTCAACCAGGAATGAGTTTGCCCTTCAGAGGACATCTGTAAACGTCTGGAGACATTTTTTGGCAGTCACAACTGGAGTGTGCTACTGGCATCTAGTGATAGAGGCCAGTCTCCAATGCACAGGCTGCTCCCTCCCAATAAAGAATGATCTAGACCAAAATGGCAATATGCTGAGGTTGAGAAGCCCTGAATCAGAGTCACAGAAGGCAGAGATCTTCTTAAAAACATCAATACTATTCTTTGAGAACTACGTAAACACGGCATCAGGTGCTCCATAAAGAATGAGTTTTGAGCTGCAGGATATTTTCAGACAGAAAGAATATAACCAGTCATGCGGGATATTACAGAGGAAACCCAACCCTTGAACTACAAGTGATTCTCGCACAGGTACAGGAAGCTGCACGGAGCGGTTCACGAGTCTTCATCCAGTTTAAGAATAAAGAAACATCAGAAGTCAAATGACACAGGTGCAATCCTGTGGTACTCTGGGGGCAGAGTTGGAATTAAATCTCATAGCTACGGATCTTGCGTGGCAATTGAGAAAATGCATCTTTGACTTCTCTCCTTTGGCAGATACAATAACTTAACTGAATGGGAAGAAAAATAATGTCATCATTATTTATAATTATTGCATCTACCATTTTTGAGCAGTTCCTACTAACCCCTCTGCAAGTCTTACCTCATTTAATCCTCTCAAACAAAAGTGGAGAGCATAAACAGGAACGAACTCGAGACAACCTCTGAGGCAGCTGTGATTATTACACACATTTCTCCAACGAAGACACTGAGGCTTACTGAGATCAAATAATTCGCTCCCAGTCATTCAGCCAGGAAGCAGCAGGGCTGGGATGGGAGCCCAGCCTGCCTGATAACCAAGTCTATATTGTCCTACGTGCTCCAGGGACAGAAATGAAAAGAAGCGTCTGGAAGATAGCATCTGTTATCGAAGACCAAGCAAGGCATTAATGATGCTGCTCAGACATCGGATCATTTAACTGCTACAAGTTATCTTTCCTGAAAAGTCCCTGGTAAGGAAACCTCACCACCCTTCATCCTTCCGTCAGCACAGCCAGAAGAGTCAGTAGAGGTTAGACTCTTGGTCCCATGGGCCTAAACTTCATGACTCATAAAATGGGGCAGTGACCTGTCAGTATGAGCAGCCTGTTGCAGGTACTAATAAGATCATTCTCATCAGGCAGGGTCCCAACAGGAAACAGATGCAACACTCAAGGACAATCCAAGGAGGCTTCTTTAGAAAAGGATTCACTCCAAACGTCAAGGGACAGTGCAGCATCCTAGGATAACAACATTGGAGCCATGCGGATGCCTAGGATCCCAGAACATGGAAGGAAACAGTGGTGTAGAGTGAGCCACCTCGGGCACACAGGGGACTAAATTTGTGTCACAGCTAACTACATAGGGGTGGAAGGAGTCAGGAGAATTAACAGCCTGACTTTGCCCTCTTCTCTCCCCGAGTCCCATCTCGTGCTGAGGCTCCCCATTGCCAAACCCCAAGGAAGGGACAGGCGGGGGAACCCACTGGTGAACTTTCCACAGGTCGCCTCTGGGGGTGGAGAGAAGAGACAAGATCGGAGGGTGGATTTAAAGCGACAAAGAGACACTGTCAGACATGGGATACAATGGAGTCATAAAACATATGAAAAGTATGCAGCCTCACTGCGATCAGAAGGAAAAAAACAATTTTAAGTATTTTTTACAACAAATTTGGAAGAAGTATTTTTAAGATAATAACAAATATAAGAGTGGATTTGATGAAACAGTCATACTCATTACAGGTGATAAGGCAAAGATATTCATTGTATCTAGAAGGCAGTCTGGAATAAGGAGCAAGAAGTCTTAAAATATCCTCACCCTTTGACTCAGTATTTCTATCGACATACCTACAGATATTTCTATACTAGAATATTTGCTGCAGCATTATTCAGCTAGCGAAAAATTGGAAAATTGAATGTCTAACAATAGGGCCTTGGTTTCATACAATTGAAAACTCCACAACCATGGAAAATCATACTACTGAAGAATATTTAATGATATAGTAAAATGTTCAAGATATAATATTAATGACAAAAAACATCAAGGTATAAAATAGACACCGTGAAACCCAATCCTATTAACATATCCTGCACATATACTTGCAAATACATCTGAGTTCAATCAGGAAATACATCTGAGACTATGAGCTGTAACTGCTTCTGGGTCACGGGATTTGGGGTGATTCTCCTCCCGTTAGCTGAGGGAACAGAACAGGAGAAACAAACAAAAATAAGTGCCAGGCATTAGTGTGCCTCTAATCAGCAAGAAAACCCAGGTTTTAGATCTCAGATGAAAACGTGGTGCCACTCCCTAGCGCCCTGAAGTCACATCAGAGGACCCCAAACTGGGAAGGGAATAGGGGGTGCCCCCAGAGCCCTCTCCCCCAGTTGAGAAAGAGGAGATTCTTAAAGCTAATAAAAGTTACAAGTCAAGTATCTATTATTTCTTAATGTGGCAATTTAAAGTCAAGCTTTAGTTACTTTAAACAATAAACCCTAAGTGAATGGCTCTATCAAAATGCACGCCTCCCCATTCTCATTAAATGACACCATTTACTGTCTGCTGTTCCCAAAAGCGGCGGCAGTAGTTTCTTAGAGACAAGGAAACCCAGTTTGCCAAACTCACATACATCGCTTCCCGTATATTATCCCACATTCACTTTCTCGTTTACACGGAAGGAGCTACACAAAGCCCCAGCGCAATGGCTGGCCGGGAGTAGATTATTCCTGAGCTCCGCAGCAACGTGGAGGGCCATGCCCCTGCTGCAGTTTCGTAGATGAGGAAGGTGAGACGCAGAGTGGCGAAGCTTCTTACCTAAGGTTACACAGTAGATGGTGACTTGAGCCCCAGAATCCTGAGGCATTTCCCTTCTACCAGCTTCTCTCCAGATGGCTGAGTATGCTTGAGCCAAAGGCAAGGCCAAGAAGCCCCCTGTTGGGTGAGCCCTTCATGCACAGCTTCCCGGGAGGGCATGGCTTGTAAGAGCCTTAAACCGGGCATGCTCGGGGTTCTGCAGTTCATTTCTCAAACTTCATCCCCAGGGAATCCTTAAAGAGGCACACAACCATTTCTGTACAGGGATATTTACGACGGTTATTTATAAGAGCAAAGTAGCAGGAACCACATAAATGTCCAGCAGTGCAGCAATGGTTAACTAGAGGCCGTGTAACGGAATACTATGCAGCCATTTTGAACGCTTTCAAGGAATATCCAAAGGCCCGAGAAAATGCTCACAATATAACACTGAGTGAAAAAAAGAAAATAATTTGACAAAGATGACAAATTGTAACCCACAAAGACAAGTATAAAATGATGATTTCAAGAAAAAAATGACTGCTTCTTGCAGTCTCTGGGTAAATACTTACTGGGAGGCCTTCTTTCTTTTTCAAAATAAAACAGCTGGGACTCCTGAAGGATCTTTTCTGCTGACATCTGTCTCCAAAGCAGTTCAGCTAAACTACACTGACTCTAACAGCTCTGCTTCAGACCACAACTGTAATGCACGCGAAAAACAGAAAACTTGTGAAAACCGAAAAACAGGAAGGAAACAAAAGCACCAAGGAGTTTCCCCATTTACCCTACCCAACCTGTGCCCCCACCACAGCCACTCAATAGTTTTGGCCAAAATTCTCCCATTTTCCTCCCGAGCTACAGTCACTCTTAACCAAATCCTTAGATTCTGTAACTGGTATGTATATGATTGCATGAACCAAAAGCAACATATTCCTTAATTCTATAAGCAAATTTTGAGTCCTCATCTCTCTTCTGTTGTTCAAAAATGAGCTAAATTTATAAAACAAACCCTATCAACTCACACAACTATTGACCAGCCTTCCCTTCCCAAAGCATCACGAGGGAATTTCCTTTTGTCCAATGAACAAATAAAAGAAGTAAGTCTGAATGAATGAATGCATGCCAAGGAAATGTTCCCTGGCCTGGAAGAGAGTCTGCAAAGCTGCCTTTTGGCCCATAAACAATTGATAGCAACGGAACACAAGGGAGAATTGCCGTGAGGTCTCGCCTGTCTTGCCACAGGAATACCTGAACTACTGTTTGTGATCCTCAGTTTGCTAAGCACAATTCACTCCTTGTAGCACTTTATTCGTCTTTTGTCTGGTGGGTTTTCAACGATTCGGCTTCTAAGTGTTCACATTGAATGAGGCAGCAGGGAAGAGAAAAAATATCTGGGAGCGAGGCCTAATTTTCCTCAGCTCACTGGAGGCTCTCTACCCTTAGGACTGCCCGTGGTGTCCCCAGGTCCTCTGAGCTGGCCAGGGCTTTCTCTATTACTTCCTGCTGCCTCCTGGAGGCAAGGACCAGGATGTTTACAGGCCGAGTTACCAGCTTACAGCCATTTCCACTCCACTGACACCAGTCAGACTTCTCTCTCTCATAAAGAACAAATTACTAAGAGCACTGAGTTCTCATATCATTTTGCTCATGGTCTTATCCAATGATAAATGGCAGAGACACTGGGCAAAGACATGATGCCCCTTTTGCAGGCTCAGGATCACTCTAAGAGACAGATATTCCTTGATAACTCTCATGTTGATTATTCATTATCATTACACTCACTAAATCCGTGATAAGGGTCTACCACACTAAGCCCTATACAATGAGCTAGTGAAATAACAGGGAATGATACAAACATGATCTCTGGCCTCATGAAGCCCACAGCCCAGTGGGGAAATACGGGAAATAATCAGGATCTCACATAGAACACAGTGGGACACACACTGGGTGGTCAAGGACGGCTGTGCGGTGGGCACTGTCATGCTACCCAGATCTCCCTTCAAAGTAGGACTTCATGCCTGGGAGGACTGTCAGCTCTCAGCCTTTAGCTGTCAGCCCTCTCAGGGATGGCCTCAGCTGAAGAATTGCCTGCCCAAGGTCACATCCTTCCCAGCAGGAAGGGGGACCCCCATTATGACTGATCAATGAGAGAGTATAAAGGCCTCGTCGCGGCTGCCAGCCAGAGCAGCACTGCAGGGCCATCCCGGCTTCAGAGCTCCCCCGCGTGGTCAGTTAAGGCTGTGCCTGGCCTATGTTTCTTCTGTCTGTCTCCCTCTGCCCACTCTGGCTCCATTCCCCTCCCTCCCACAGAGGGTGAGGCCAAGGGCCCTCCATAATAAACATGCTTCATGCTCAGTTCCATCTCAGAGTCAGCTTCCTGGGAAAGGCACACGTTGACCCTTGAAAGATGAGCAGCAGCCAGCCATACCAAGAGGCCAGGGAAGCCGTCCAGACTGGGAGGACACCAAGCCCCAAAGCACTGAGGTTTGAGCGAGCTGGCATAGTCAAGGTCCAGAGAAGTGGTTGGTCTGCTTGGGACGTGGTGAGCAAATTGAGATGGTTAGGAGATGGGATTAGAAAAGCAGACAGGAGCCAGACCATGCGGGGCTGTGCAGACCATAACAAGGGGGAAACAAATGGAGGGCTGTATGCTGAGAAGTAACGAGAGCCGATGCATATTTTTAAGAGATGACTCTGGTGGCTTGCCATCTGCAAGACTAAGCACTGAGACGACACAGAGGCATAAATCTCTATTCCAGCTGTCTCAATACATGAATTTAGACAGGTAGAAATTCTTTAAGATTTGTTCAAAAGATAACTTTACAGGCCATCTAATGAACACCTCCTATGTGCTGGCCCTAACAACGCTTTCAGCGTAGGCACAATTACCTTCATGTGGCAGAGACAGCAATGTGGGCAACGAGAAAGCAAGAAAGTGGCCCAAATTCACACTAATAGTTAAAGAAAGACCAGGGCTGTGAATCCAGGTCTTCTGGCTCCACACTGAATTACTTCCTCTTTATAAGTATTATGGTATTATAATTATATATATATTCTTACCATATATAATTATAGTATTATATGTAGATGGTATATATATTTTAAGATGTTGTATCTATTGTAAGGCCAATGATAATCACAGGCTTTTAAATGACCAATTGTTTTCCTTCTACAGCATCCCCTACCCTATCAAATAGCTGAACTTGCCCCCAAATAATCATCTGTTTTAGAGGGAAAAGGAAGAACCCAAATGCAGCTGATGGTATCCAAGTTCTGTTTTGTGTCCTGAAGAATTCCTACAGCGCCCAGAAGCTTCCCTCCCAGCGTATTCCCCCAGACTGTGTCATGAGAAGGGCCTCCCCGTGGGGTTGCTGACCGCAGGCACAAATCCATAGTGTGTATGAATCCAATAACCAGCCAACTTTGGCTGTTTAATGGGTCCTGCAATCACTCCTATTGTAATTCCGTGTAAGTGACTGAACTTTCGAGAGTGTCTCCCTCTGCCTTTTCTTCATCTGGAACAAGAGAGCAAGGCAAACGCCTGCAATTGAAGGGCTTTTACAGTGTGAGGGTGTGAGGGTCAGGAGGCTGTGACTTGCTCCCTCTGTGCCCTCCTCCCAAGGCTCGCACAGTGAAGATTTCTAACGCAAATAATGCAAATGGTCAAAGGCAAGAGGAATGGCCCCTCTTCTTAAACACTTCTGGGAAAAACCAAGGTTGTCGATGCATTAAATTATTTCAGGGAGTGAGATTCCTGTGATAACATGAAGAGCACAATAGAATTCTGGCCCCACCCCCTCCCCCGACGAAACCCAGTCCATGCTCTTTTCCTTACTAGACTGTCCACTCCTCCCGTGTTCTGTTTTTGTTGTCTTTTGAACAGAACTACACCTAAAATCATGAGTCGGCCATCCAGGAAGCAGAAAGAAGATATTATAGACGTTGGAATGTTTCAAAGTCACGTTAATTATGGGAAAAAAAAAACTGAAGCAGCTCCCAGCAGAATATACACAGAAAGGACAAACCTAAAACCTCCTTCAATTGCAGTAAAAAGGCGAGAACCAAGAAATTACCATATTCAACTTGCTGAGGTTTTCTGAATGTATTTTCATAAGCTAGCAGATAATTCCCTAATTTTCCAGAACAGCAGATTCTCTGGTCCAGATGGGCACTCCTTCCTGGGCTGAGCTGCTCTTGTAGGAGTATGCGTGTTTTATTTAAGAAATGTTGTTAAAGGTTATTCGCTTAACTCTAACATTATATAGAGAGAAGAGCGTAATCAGTAGAGTATAGCTTGATGAAGTTTCACAAAGTGAACATTCTCGTGTTCCCAGCAACCAGATCCAGAACCGGAAGCCCCCTTCCCACCCGTCCCAGTCTCTCCCCTCCCCTGCCTCTTCCCAAAGACCATGAGTATCCTAACTTCTATCACCATGGGGTAGTTTTGTCTGGTTCTGAACTTTATATAAATGCGATCGTGTAACATGGGCTCTTTGGTACTTGACCTCTTTGGCTCAATACAATGTCTGTGAGATTCATCCGTGTTATTGCACGTAAAGTAGCTCATTTGCATTCCTCTAGCACCCTCCCTCATATGACTCTACAGTATCTGCTGTACTGTGGAGCTACGCCTTGTTCTTTCCAGTCTCCAGCTGTCGTGCACAGCGCTGCTGCGGACATGCTTGCAGATCTTTTGGTGCACACATTTACACATGTGTGATTTGGTGCACAACTGTACACATTTCTGTTGGGAGTGAACTGCAAGATTACATGGTATGTGTGCAGTCAGCTTTAGCAGATACTGCCAAACAGTTTTCCCAAGTGATTGTACTAATTTACATTCCCAATGACAGAGTATGAGAGTTCCTGTTGAACTAAGAATTTTTTCCAAGGTTTGGCTAGTTTCGAATTTTTATCAAGTAACACATGGTCAAAGTTTTAAAAAACGAATAATCCTATAATGCTTATAATGCAAAAGAGCAGTCCACGGCCTACCTTAAGTCCAGACCCAGCCCTTGTCAACTGTTTTAGCTCCTTTTTCCAGCATTTATCTTTCCAGCATTTAAAAGTGTGTTTTTACACTTATATTTTTACTCTTTAATCGGTCATTTTAAGGATTATGTATTGATTTCCCTCTGTAAAAAAATTATTTTAGCATTCTTAACTCTATGCTCCCACCCTCCCTACATACATTTCACCTCTACCTTGTTCATAATACAGCTTTATAATAATGTTGGTTTTATCAAGTTACCATTTAAATTATTAATATATAATTATTATACATGACTGAAACCAATAGTATATACTTCGATTGAATTTTCTTTCTTATGCAAAATTTTGTTTTCCCTAAAGTTAGTGATTGCCTTTATTTTTCATCTACTTAATTTCTAACTAACACCAGTTTTTCTCAGACTCTCTGCTGGAATTATAAAACCCCTTTCAAAAAGGTCCAACTCCTTAGGGAATCTGCCAGTACTGCATTTTCCCTTTGAAGTGCTGTGGGGTTTTTTCTTTTCTGTCTTTAGCAAAAGACCCCTGTCTTCCTGCTCCTAAATGGATGTTAGGCTAGGAAAGCTCTTCATTATTATCCAAGGAATTCCTTTACTCTTTCTCAGAGTGGGATGCCCTGTCTCCAGAACCTTACATTTTCTTTCATGTTTTCTCTTGCTTACTGGATCAAATCTTCCAGGAGCTCCCTGGATATACTGTTTTGAGACCTCAAACATCTGCATTCTACCTGCGCATTTGATTGGCAGTTTGGAGGCAAATGGATGTCCAGGTTAGAAGCCATTGCTCAGCTTTGAAGACATTGTACCCTGGACGTCTTGCTTCCAAGTTTACTGCTGAGAAGTCAGATTTCATTGTGATTCCTGATCCTTTGATGTGTGACATGTTTGGTCTTCTCTGGAAACTTTTAGCATCTTCTCTTTTTATCCCTGGTGCTCTGAAATTCCTAGGTAATGAACCTTGACATAGGCTCATGTGCTGAGCACCGTGAGACTTTTCAATCTGGATATTCAAGGTCTTCAGTTCTCAATATATATATGATTTTTTTAAATTCTTCCCCTTTTGTGTCTTTCTTGGTTGGTTGTTGGACCTACTGGATTGAGTCTCCGATTTTCTCCTCATCTCTCTCCAGCTATTCATGTCTTTGCTCTTTTGTTCTATTTTCTAGGAGATTCCCTCAACGTTAACATCCAACCTTCTATTGATTTTCTTCATTTCTGCTCGATTATTTTTAATTTCCAAGAGCTCTTTGTCCTTTTTAAAAATAGTATTGTATTTTGTTTCGTTAATGAAATATCTTCTCTTTTCTTTTTGAAAATATTAATTATAACGTTTGTAATTAAGTTGCTTTCTGCTCACTTCGCTATCAGTGTATTCATCGAGTTCATTTCCTCTCAGTATTTGCTTTGGTCTTTCTCATTCGAGAATAGAAGCTTTCCTCAAAAGGTCTGGGGATTCCTCACATTCATTGATATTTAAGAGAGAGGCAATTAAAAGCAGTTCTCTGTGCATAGGCAAGGCTTCTTTGGAAGGCAACTGGGTAGAAATTTGTCTAATTCATTGGAGATTTTTCCCTTGGAGTGGTCAATTACTCCCCCAAAAATGCTCCCATCTACGCGTGGGGAGTATATACCTGGCTGCCTACATTCTGGAAATTGAGGAGAGCAAGAGGACTGGATTGAGAAGTCTCTCCCCTTATTTCATTTTAATGTCTGAAGCCTGCTCTCTATTGCTCCTGATGACCCCCTGAGCCCCCTGTGATTGAGTTTCTCCAGAGACAAATTTCCTTTCTCCACATGCCACAAGGGAGGATCCATTATCTGGTTGTTTGGAGTGGGAAAGGGCATCTGGAAATAAAAGTGTCTATTACACATGCAGTATTAATAGGAGGTTTTGGGGAGGGGGTTGTTTTTTGCTTGTTTTTTTGTTTTAATTGCAATCAATAGAAATGGACTGTGGCAGTTTAAATGGGAAAGGAGTTTATTAACTGGTAGGTAGTTCATTGAATTCTTGGGAGGGGTGAAGAACCAGGCTCCAGGCTAATCTTCTAGAACTATGCTCAAAACCACCCCACAGAACAGGCCTGACGAGGAAACCTTCGCAGACTCTGCTGCCCTCCTAATGTAGCACTAATGTAGATTATCACTGCTCCCCCCCCAACCCCCACCAATGCCAATTCCATGAAAGAAACTTGGCCTTACAACCACTGGTTGACACCTTCCGCGAAAGGCCTGAGTCTCCTGCTTCAAAAACGAAAAGACACACAGATCCTCTTTCCTCAGCTCACTTCTTAAAATGTTATGTGGGTATGTCTGATTGGCACAGCTAGCCCACATGGCTGGGGACTAGCTATTGGACAAGTTGAGAATTAGAATTCAGATCAGGGAAGGAAGATGCAAAACTTGAGATTTCCCTGAATATAGAAAAGCTACTCAAAAGATGATAGACAGCCATAAATATGAGAGCTATCCTCTACTGAACTTATTCTTCATATTTGTCTCCAGAAGTGTCTGCGGGCTCCGATTTCAATCTCTCTAGGATTCGGTGGCCAAGGTTGGCTAGCTTTTTGTCGGAATTCCACTCTCTAGGCACTTAGTTCCAGCTTTCCTGCTCTGCCAATCCAATTGCCATTTGTCCATCTGCTTTCCATCTTCTAAACATTTGTTGACATCTTTAATTTGCTATTGTGTCCTTTCCTATGCTCTTTGTTTATGTAGGTTTACAACTTTTTAATTCCTTTTTCATCATTTTAGTGGGGTTCAGGAGAGAGCAGAAATCAATATGTGCTATGTTTAATCAGAATTTAAGGTATCTTTTGAGCAGCTATGAAGGAGAATATATGTGTCAAGGTGATTTGTTCATTATTTAATGCACCAGAATAACTTCTTGAAAAATTTAAAGTTTCTTAATGGGCTCAGAGACATCAAGACTGCCACCCTCCCTGCTGACTTTCTTCCACCTAGGCAGGAAGCCGGGTCTGCGTATCTTTCAGAAATGGACTTTTATTGTGGAGAATTTTGTATATTCAAGAGTGAAAAAGAGAAATTGGCAAGGTGAGTCCCTCTGTTTTCACCACATGGTGGAGAGAGGTAGCTCTGGTCTCCTCTTCCTACAGCATCTCTCTCTCTCTCTCTCTCTCTCTCTCTCTCGGTTCAATTTGAAAATCTCAGGGAAGGATTCTGGTTGGCTGGCTTGGGTCATGCACCCACCATAGTGGTCAGGGGGCGTGAGGATCTATGACTGATCCACCTGTGACTAGAGCAAGGGTTTGTCACCACAAGAGGCTGGGGGACTGAAGCAAGACACTCCGAGGCAACGGAAACCTAATTTGTATACATTAACTGCTGCACAATGAATCTTTCAAGATAACATGTGACCACGGCAAGATACAGACGTGGAAAATAAACTTTCCATGGGCTGAATAAAGCCCCCAAGACGTATCTACACCTTAATCTCTGGAACCTGTGACTGTTACCTTATACAGTGAAAAAGGAATGTGTAGACATGATTAAGTTGAGGATCCTGAGATGGAAGATTATCCTGGATCATCTGGCTGGGCCCTAAATGCAATCAAAGATATCCTTATAAGAAGGAGGCAGAGGGAGATCTGACACACACACAGAAGAGGGGAATGCAGTGTAACAGTGGAGCCCAGATTGGAAGGATGCAGCTACAAGCCAAGAAATGTCGGTAGCCATCAGATGCTGGAAGAGGCAAGGAATGAATTCTCCCCTTGAGTTCCAGAGACAGTGCAGCCCTTGGTTTTGACCCAGTGAAATTTCTGAAAAGCTACTGTCCCCCAGAACTATGAGAGAATAAGTTTCTCTTGTTTTAAGCCACCAAGACTGGCAATTGGAAACTATTGCAGATTTTGGCACCTGCTGTAAGAAATTCCTAAAAATATAGAAGTGGCTTTGGAATTGGGTAATGGGTAGAGGCTGGAAGAGTTTTGGAAGAGGCATGATAGAAAAAGCAAAGATTGCCTTAAACAGACTATTGGTAGAAATGTGAACACGAAAGGTCCTGTTGGTGAGGTCTCAAAAGGAAGCGAGGAACATATCATTGGAAAC